ACACACAGCCGTGGTGTATCAGACCATGCTCTAACTAACTGAGGTACATGGCCAGGGCCTCTGTGGAGGTTTGGATTGGTCTTTAAAAAGGTGTACAGGAGTGTTCTTTTATTGCTGATAGACTCTGCGAATCAAGTGTGATGCCAGGATGCTAGGACTTATGGTAGTCATCTTTGGAATCCGAGGGAAATGGTTTAAAAAGACAAGCCAAAGTGCTGAGGAAGGCAGAGCAGGAAGTTACAAGGAACTCAGGGCCATAGTACACTGTTGAAGAGATGACAACTGATCCTGGAACTGCCCCACCTCCAGATGACTTGCTATGTAAGATAAGTGCCCTTGTTGTTAAGCCATTTTAGTCAGGGTGTTCTGTTACTTGGGAGTCAAACCCATCCCAGCATATACAACAACACAGAACAAAAGATGCCTGCTATCCATCAATTCTCTAATGATTCAACTTCCAAGCATAACTGCACAGCTGGATTACAAGGGTATTAGATTCCCCTTTGGCCCTGTGAGAGCAACTGATTTTGCCTACCCAGAACTAGACCTATTCTTTTTCTGCCAGCAGTTACCTTTTGCTTTAAAGGACTTCTACTCCATGTGGTTAGAAGTAGGGTTGGGGGGAAGAACGGGACTTTAAACATAAACACTGGTGCTCCTCTGGACCACGACCACCAACTAGGGTGGTCACATGACCCAGATGGAACTAATCTGAGTCCTTCCCCAGAATTAATGTAGGAATGTTGAAGGAAAGGCCTTCTGCCTGCTGGGACTACAAACAGAGAAACAGAAACTCTGATGGGGGGGGCGTTCATCCTTCCTGGCACATGGGGAGAGTCAGTCTGTAGTATGTGGCCAACACAAGAGTCAGAGCCCTGGGGACACTTTGAACACAGAGATCAAGCCATGCCTGAAACCCTGAATGTCCGTTACCTATACCAATAATGTCTGTTATTAAGATAATTGGAGTTAGGTTTCTGTTATTTTCTTATAACTAGAAGCATCACAACTAAAATAAACACCAACCAGCCCCACGCCCACATTGAATCCTTTACTTTCTCTGGCTATTCTTTCCCAGGCCTCTCTCATTTCTACTTCCCATCTCTGAGCAAACCAACCAAAAGGTATCCATCTTCCGGAAGGTCAGGCTACTGTACAGGACCCTTCGGAGTCATTTCTCATAGCAGCCTTCAGAGGCAGCCGCACGTAGCCCCACAGCTGGGGGCAGCCATCACCAGCCCACCCCAGAGTCTCCTCGTCCTTTTTCCCTTGCCTACCACTTCCCTGATGCTATTTCCGAGCCTGGATGGTAAGGCTGTGGATGCCTTTTAGATCTGGAAAAGCAGGTCTAAGCATTCCACTTACTTGATAACACTGCTCTGCATGTTCTCTCATGCAAATGGGAGGGGTGCACCACATAAAGTCACTGAGTTGAAGATGGACAGCACAAGTGAGGCAAGACCAACAAACAGAATTCCGCTGCTAGTTACATATGTAGGTATATCTATGTACACATCAAACATAAAATACATGTTCTGTATAATAACATCTGTGTAAACTTTGCAGTGTAACCAATCAGGGGGCAGAACAATGCCTACACATCTCAAGGGAGGTTCTCCGAGCATCAGGGCGCCCTGCTCTGAGGAAACTGAAACACCTAAGCCCAATCCTACAAAACAGTTACAATAAGGGGCAGACATTCTCACTATAAAAAGATTCTTTACTTTATGAAAGGATGTACCACAGGTCCCACGAAACTGCCTGGGCTCCATTGCATTTAGAATAGGATCTGATTTGTAGAAGGCTGTACAGATACTGTCAACTATATAATCAAGGAGCCACAGTTGAACTGAATTTTTGTTGTTGTATAATGTGATGAACAAAACCAGTTAATTTTATTTGTATCACTAATAACGACTTTCTTTTTTCTTTTCTTTATTTCTTTTTTGTTGTTGATAATCCTCATCTGAGGATATTTCCCCCCTTGATTTCTAGAGAGAATGGAAGGAGAGGAAGAGGAGAGAGAGAAACATCCATGTGAAAGAGATACACTAACTGATGGCTTCCCACAAGCACCCTGACCAGGACCAGGGAGTGAACCTACAATCCAGGTATGTGCCCTTGACTGGGAATTGAACCTGCCAACCTTTAGTGTATGAGCCAAATGCTCCAACCGCTGAGCTACTCCGGCCAGGGCACTATTACTGATTTTCTGTGTGGGATAAAAGTGATAGCACCAAATGTCATCATATCAGTTGAGGCAGGTAATTGATCCAAGATAAGCAAGGCATTTCCTTCCTAACAGGGTTTTACTGTTAAATGGAGTATTTATTGTCACACACAAAAAAGACCAAAGTATTCACCTTATTGATCCATATAAAGTTTTAAAAACAGAGTAATAATAATTGCAGGTAATATTATATACTTCTTACTACATAACTGTCCTAAATTTTTTACAGGTATTAAACTCATTTCATTCTCTTAATAACTTCCTGTGTAGCTACTATTATTAAATCTGCGTTATAGATGAGTAAATGGGTTACACTGCCCAAGGTCAGGAGGCAGTAACTGGAAGACCTGAGATCAAATGCAGGCAGTCTGGATCCAGGGGCCACGCTCTTAACCATCATACTATGCTGCTCCCTTGATCTGGCAGTCATTTGCAAGATGGCAAACAGTACAGGGAGAGGTGTGGAAATGGACACTACTTATTAGGCGTTTGCCCTCCTCGATTTTCCACATGATCCTGAATATTCAAGCAAGGTATCATGGAGCTCAGAGATCATGCAATCACCCATATGGATGACTGGCAAATCTCACCTTCTAGCCCGAGACATCCAGCAGCCCAGACATCAGCTGAGCTACAGGCAACATGGCATCATGGTTATAAGAACGGCATTAGTGTTACGCTGCCTAGACTCAAATTCTGCCTTTGCACCTACTAGAGCTCTGATCTTGAACACGCTACGTCACCTCTCTATAAATCTGGTATAACACAGTGCCTCACTCCCATATGAATGCATAAATAAGTGGAACAACAAATCAATGTTTTCTCTCTCTCCCTGAAAATAAATTTAAAAAAGAAGAAGAAGAACTCAGAGGAGCCTACAAAAGTTTTTTTTTAAATTAAGTTGCAGATATCATATCATTGCATTCATAAATACTTCAGCTATTATCTCCTAAGAACACGGACATTAACCATAATAATGTATGTATCATACCCAAGGAACTTCACAGTTGCACAATACAATTATCTAATACACAGTATGTATTTCTATTTTTCCAAGTGCCCTACAAATGAACTTATTTTTTCAATTTAGGACCCAATCCAGGATCATAAGTGCATTTAAACTGTCGTTTCCTTCAATTTAGGATAGTCCCCACCCCTTGTCTTTTTATATCTTTCACTAGAGGCCCGATGCACGAAGATTCCTTGGCTGCCAGCATCGGCTTCCCTCTGGCACCTGGGATGCCGGCCTTTGCTCTGGCCATCGACTTCTGCCTTCACTCCGGCCCTGCCACCCTCCTATAGCTCCTTCCACCTCCTGCCACCCCCCTCATAGCAGACTTCTCACCCTGCCCAGGCTGCTCCATGCCTGGAGTAGTCAGGGTGGGGTGGAATGGCTGCTGCCATATTTGTTGTATCAATTTGCATATTCCCTCCTTATTGGCTGTGGGCACTGCCAGATTTGTCATGGAGTGATGGTCAATTTGCATATTCCATCTTTATTAAATAGGTTAGGACTGACATTTTTTGAAGAGTCTAGGCAGTTGTCTTATAAAATGTCCCACAATCTAGCTGAAACCAGTTTGGCTCAGTGGATAGAGCGTTGGCCTGCGGATTGAAAGGTCCCGGGTTCGATTCCAGTCAAGGGCACGTACCTTGGTTGCGGGCACATCCCCAGTGGGGGTGTGTGCAAGAGGCAGCTGGTCGATGACTCTCTCTCATCGACATTTCTAACTCTCTAACTCTCTTAATTCCTCTCTGTGTAAAATCAATAAAATATATTTTAATTAATTAATTAATTAATTAATTAAATGCCCCACAATCTGGATTTGTCCATTTGCTCAGAATTCAATTCATATGAAACATTTTTTTGGAAAAGTGCTACATAGTTGATATTTTATACTTCACACTGCAATGCACAAGGAGGTACCTAACAACATAATTTGTTTCATTATTGGTGTTGCTACATTTGATCATTTCCTTAAAGTGATAGCTTCCCAAATCATTTCATTATAAAGAAATTCTTTGGAGAGAAACCAAGATGGCAGCATGGGTAAACACCTGAACTGCTGCCTTGCACAACAATTTCAAAACTACTACTATTGTAAAAGACATCATCCAGAACCACAGGAAGGCTGGCTGAGTGGAATTCTACAACTAGAAGGAAAGGGAAAAGCACACCGAGACTCAGAGGAGCAGCAGAAGGCAGAGGTACAGAAGCACCCATTCTCTCTCTCTCTTTCTCTCTCTCTTCCCTCCCTCTCTCCCTCCCTCCTTCCCTCCCTCTCTCCTTCCCTCCTCCCCCTTCTCTCTCTTCCTATTCACCCAATCCTTAGTCAAGATTAACATGTATCCTTGAGGCCCCAGAGACTGAGATGGTTTAGGCCACTGGCAGCAGGGAGCCAGGACCAGGCTAATTATGGAAAATGGGGCAGACAGAGAAGAGCTAATCCATTCCATGCCCAAGTTGGCCTTTGGCTCAATGGAAATCAGAAGCATGGCTGGCAGACTGTAACAGGACTCAGGGTATCAGAACAGCAGCAAGGATTCTCACTTGCTGCCAGAGGTCATAGTGGCATATCCTTCTCCTCCATGTCCCAGGTAGCTTTCCACCCAAAACATCAGGCAAAACAAATCACCCTCATGGTACAAATGGGGTGTAGTACTCCCAGGAAAGGTCACTCTGCAGACATCAAAGCATACCTGTGAGTTCCAAAGACAACCAAATCCATGACAGTAAAACCACCAACCAACCATCTCCTGGGGCTCTTACCTGATTGGAACACGTATCTGGCCAAGCCCTGCATTAGCTCTGCTGGCCATGTTGGGGGAGCAGACTCCCCTGTTTCTCTCTTCAGGCGAAATGTCAACTCAAAGCCAAAACCACTAGGCCCATCTGTTCCTGTAAATCTAAAAGAAATAAAAAACAAATGTTTTTAGTTCAACTACCTTAGGAAAAAAACAATAATACTGTTTGGAAAGCCTAATTGAAGTTCTCCCTTATTCTTGGTGGCCTCAGCATCTAAACCCCTTAGTCAGAGGAATATCCCATTGTGTGAGCCTCGAGGTCAAAAAGGACCTCAATAAGGAACCAGAACTCACCTCACCTCCAGCCAGCTACAACACTTGTGTATGACCTTAGCCCAGCCAATCAAATTCCCCTCCTGGCACCCTAAATTATGAGTTCCACATTTTGTGGCTCTGGAGCATTCCTTTCTGTGTGATTGAGGGCCTACCCTTCCCTATTCATGCTCCATATTCCTTCAAGTTGTTAATAAGCATCTACTAAGTTTGCTAAGGTTCAAGTCCTGCTGTATGCTTGTGAGGATGAGACCCTTTCTCTGCTCCCACCCCCACCTTGGCCCACAAGAGTGCATTTTCAGATAGGTCCCAGGACAGATTCCAAATACTGGGAGGCCTGCATATTCTTTTTATTTTTTATTTTTATTTTTTTCGGCTATTTTCATTTTCTTTTTAAAGAGAGGAAAGGAGAGAGACAGGGAAACTTGATTTGTTGTTCCATTTACTTAGACATTCATTGGTTGATTCTTATTCTTGTATGTGCCCTGACTGGGGATTGAACCCTTAGGCTTAGCACATTGAGATGATGCTCTAACCAACTGAGCTATCCAGCCTGGGCCTTGACTCTTAATTTACCTGCAACTTTTGGGTTATATTCCAGTGTTCATAAAATCAATATATAAATGAAATAGGTGAAAGATAATGCAGATGATGTTCGTTTAATCTCATCGAGTCTGAATTTCGCTATAGCATGTGTCAATAACCAACCCTTTTTATTGCTGAATAGAATCCCCTTATAGTGATATGCTGCACTTTATTTACCCACTTGCCTGATGATGAGCTATGGAGTTATTTCCAGAATTTTGTTATTATAAATAATGTTATGAACATTGATGAATAAGTCCTTTTGTTGATATATATCTTCACATATTGTAGGTAATTACTCAAAAGTGGATTTTTTTTTTTAGTGAAACTACAAAACAGTTTTCAAAATAGTTCACAGCCTTTATAATTTTACGTGTGTGTGTGTGTGTGTGTGTGTGTGTGTGTGTGTGTGTGGTAATCTATAGTTATTTATATGAAAACTGTCTATCTGCCTACCTATTACCTATCTATGAAAACTATCTGTATAAAAGCCTAGGGGACTGTTATAACTGACTGACTGGAACTACTGGCCAGTCACTATGATATGCACTGACCACCAGGGGGCAGACACTCAACGTAGGAGCTGCCCCATGGTGGTCAGTGCACTACCACAGGGGGAGTGTGGGAGGCCTGCATATTCTATGTGCATTCATTAATCAGCACAAAGAATTTCTAAAATCTGGCAGCCCATGGGCACTCTTCAATCACTGGAACCTTCAGGAAGCAAAGTTTGCCCTCTCTTCCCATCTAGGCGGCCCAGAATGACCAGTTACTGCCTCTGCAGCCACAGTCATCACAGTGATGACGAGGCAAGGAGCACCTGCCTCCCTGTCTGCTAGGAAGTGTTCAGGAGCCGTAAGTCTCCAGCGAAGTCCCTGGAATGGACTTCTGCGAGAGGAGAGAGGGAAATTATATGGATTAGAGAGCAAGGCCTGGTTGCGGGGTGTGTGTGTGTGTGTGTGTGTGTGTGTGTGTGTGACACACCTCCCTAGGTGAGGGGAGCACCAGGGAGAGTTCCTGAGAGCTCAGGAGGTCTGCCAGCATGGGAAGTATTAAAAGCTAAAATGTGTTCATGATATAATTTTCAGTAATTAGATCTTGTACAAACATGAGCTACAATGATTATACACATGTTAGTTCCTCAGCATACAAATACAAACCATAAACTAAGATGACAGCCCACACCTCCTTGCCAGCCAAGCTACTGGAACAGGCTTGAAACGGAGGGGAGAATTCTGAAGGGATAGTGACAGCCAATGCTGAACCCTGGAATTTCATGTGGCATCTTTACATCGTCATCATCATCATCACCACCACGAACCCCAAAAGACCAGGCCCAGAAACTAGAGAGAAAGATATTCAAAGTCTCAGGAGCTCTGACACCAGCCCTACCCGGTTGTGTGCCTGGATGAACTCAGGCTTCCTGCACATGCTGTGGTGAGGAGATTACCTCTCACAGCTAAATTCTCTCAAGGACTGAAAAGGAACCCATCCTTAAAGTCACCATGGCCATACCCAATTCTATGCAAAGGAGGTGTCCATGGCTTGCATTTGCTATGAGCATTTAACAGTGTGGGAAATAAAATCCATTTTGAGGGTACACGCCTTGAGTTTTGGATACCACACAAGAAGATGCTTGGCAGGAAGCAGTGTAAACTATAATATTTCTTTCCTTGCTGAACTGCCCTGTTTGGGGGCAATGCCATGCAGGAAGGCTGAGGAAACAGCTAAGCAAATTGAGGCTAGAAGACCTGCTTCCCAAGGGCTGCGGATACGACAGGAGTGTGAGGAACTGGGGTAATGCAAGACTGACTGGGAGCTAAAACTCTACAAAAGGAGCTGGGTTACTAGGTCAAAGGGAAGATTTCAAGCAGCCACCAATTAGAGGAGCTTTGTAAAATGTATGAGACGATTACTCCAGGCCTTTCGTGCTGGGCCAAGAAAAATACATGATTTCTAACCACAAAAACTTGAGAAACAGACTTAAAAAAACACGTTCCTTGGCATGTGCAATAGGGGGAACCCTTGGATGCAGAGAGAGAAAAATAATGTATCCAAGCAGCACCACTTTCTTGAGGAGGGTTGTGCACACATGCACATGTACACCATCTGCCTGCACACAGGGTGCTTTCTAGGCCAGTTGTGTGGTGGGCAGGCCAGCTTTCATGGGACTGACTGGGAGGGGCAGGCCCATCCAGATGGTCTCCACCTGGGTTTGATTACCACCCACCAGGCTGGCTGAACACAACCTCTAAACTCTGAAACATGAGTTTGGAATGGGCCTGCCTCAGGATAAACACACAACCTGGGGCCTGTCAGGTCTCTCTCAAAGCAGACTGCTTAGGCAATAGCCAAGTGACAGAGTCATTCAGTCTTTAAAGTCCCCAGCAGGGGCCTGGCTTGGTCTGTATTTCCTCAACATGAGAGCTTCTCCAGCCAAAGCTGTTTTGTTTGACCAGAGGATGAAGCCCCTTTTCTAGGAGCAGCTGACTCTCGCATCTTCTGGGAAAGGAAGACGAGAGAAAATCAGCATGTGTGGCAGAAAGTGGGATCTGGATTAGAGCAAAAGATTTTTGCTAAAAAACTGGTTGGTGGAGTTTCTTACAACAGGAATTAAAAACAACAACAAAAACATTACAGATTCTCCCCTCACTCACTCACTACCAGGAATCACCAGGGCTGCGGGGTTCTAACTGTCTTGTTGCAGAAGTATGAGTAAAATGGCCCCTAAAAATTGTTTCCAGCTAAAGAACTGACCCTGCTCACTGAGGTGCCCAGGGGACAGGCTGGCTTTGTCCTAGGCACGGCGAGCCTAGGCAAGGCTGTGCCAGCCTTAAGAGTAACATCAAACCTGCTGGCAGGAAGAACATGTGCCTTGAATCCTAGATACAGTTGCCCAATCCCTGGAACCTGCCCAAAGGTCTGTCTCAAAGCATCTGACTAAGAAGGTATCACTCGGCCTCCAAGAGGCAAAAATGACCGCTAACGTCAGGCGGAAGATGAATAGAGGAGACTTTCCCGACGTTGGATTCCTCCCAGAACCCTCAATTAGGCCTTGGATTCTTCCTGACTGCTATCACGCTTTGAGTGACAGCCATTATTACAACAGAATTCAGTAAATAATTACTAAATTAACATTTGCAAATATGATGTTTTTATTTTTAACAGTTCACAATTATTGACATTTCATTAGCTATTTTAAAATGGTATTTGATAATTACAAAAGTACTATATATAATATTTATATACTATGTGTAAAATATTATAAAATTCTTTTGAAATACGTTTATATAGTAATATTCTGATATAGCTAAGATTTTTTTTTAAATTCCAGCTATAATATATTAATTTTATATAATCTAAAAAAAGAAGAAAAAAAAAGAATGTGCCCTAGCCAAAGAATGGTATGCTCAATTGGCTGGAGTGTCCCCCCCTGAAAGGTAGTATTCGATTCCTGGTCAAGGCACATACCCAGGTTGCAGTTTTAATCCTTGGTCAGGTCATATTTGGGAGGCAGCTGATAAATGTTTCTCTCTATCTCTCTCTCTCTTCCTCTCTAAAATCAATTTTTAAAAAATAGAGAAAAAACAAGGTGGTAAGGGGGTTGAGGGACTGGGGGAAAAGGTGAAGGGATTAAAAAGTACAAACTGGAAGTTAAAAACAATCATAGGGATATAACAGTCACCTCTGCCAAGAAGAAAGGAAATATAATCAATATTATTGTAATAACTATAGTGTCAAGTAGGTACTAGACTTATCAGGGGAATCACTTCATAAGTTATATAAATGTCTTACCATTATGCTATAAACCTGAAGCTAATATAATATTGAATGTCAACCATAATTGAAACATTTTAAAAGAAATTTAGAAACAAGAAAGAGTAAGAAAAAACCCAACAGCTAAGACTGCACCCTCACACTGAGCTGGAAGTCTGAGGAGGCTACCGTGCAGGCCAGTCACATTTGAGGTTTTTTGGTGTTTTGTTGTTAATCCTCACCGAGAATTTTTAGAGAGAGCGGAAGAAAGAGGGAGAGACAGAGAGAAACACCGATGTAGGAAAGACACATCAATTGGTTGCTTCCTGCATGCACCCCGGCCAGGATCGGGGAATCTCCAACCGAAGAACATGCCCTTGACTAGAATGGAACCTGAGTCCCTTCAGTCCACAGGCCAACGCTCTATTCACTGAGCCAAACTGACTAGGGTACCATTGAGTTTTAACTCTGAGTAGGAGATGCTCTTT